GTCCCCCCCAACACCCCCAGTGTCCCCAGTGCCCCCAGCCCCACCTCCCTCGTCCACGATGGTGGCCTGGGCCGCCTGCCCGTACAGATCCACCACGGCGTAGACGTTGGGGGGGACGTTCCAGGCCGCGGGGCCTTGGGGGGCCCCGTTGACGAAGAAGTGAAGGGTCCCGTCGTCCCGGCGCACCACGCCCACCGTGTCCCCCGCCTGGGGGGACGGTCAGGGGGTCACCCAGGGGACAGTGGCACCCAGGGCAGGGTCAGGGGGTCACCCAGGGTAGGGTCAGGGGGTCACCCAGGGCAGGGTCAGGGTGTCCCTACAGCCCCCACCGTGTCCCCCGCCTGAGGGGACGGTCAGGGGTCACCCAGGGGACAGTCAGGGGGTCATCCAGGGGACAGTCAGGGGGTCACCCAGGGGACAGTCAGGGGGTCCCTACAGCCCCCACCGTGTCCCCCGCCTGGGGGGACAGTCAGGGGGTCACCCAGGGGACAGTCAGGGGGTCACCCAGGGCAGGGTCAGGGGGTCACCCAGGGCAGGGTCAGGGGGTCCCTACAGCCCCCACCGTGTCCCCCGCCTGAGGGGACAGTGGCACTGTGTCACCCAGGGCAGGGTCAGGGGTCACCCAGGGGACAGTCAGGGGGTCACCCAGGGCAGGGACAGGGGGTCCCTACAGCCCCACCGTGTCCCCCGCCTGAGGGGACAGTCAGGGGGTCACCCAGGGCACAGTCAGGGGGTCACCCAGGGCAGGGTCAGGGGGTCACCCAGGGCAGGGTCAGGGGGTCACCCAGGGGACAGTCGGGGGTCACCCAGGGCAGGGTCAAGGTGTCCCCACAACCCCTCATGTCCCCAGGGGTGTCCCCACATCACCTCATGTCCCCAGGGGTGTCCCCACAGCCCCCCCCATGTCCCCAGGGGTGTCCCCATGTCCGCCCCGTGTCCCCAAGGGTGTCCCCATGTCCCCCCGGGTGTCCCCATGTACCCCCCGTGTCCCCAGGGGTGTCCCCAGGGGTGTCCTCATATCCCCCCCATGTCCCCCCCATGTCCCCCCCATGTCCCTCCCATGTCCCTCCCATGTCCCCAGGGGTGTCCCCAGGGCTGTCCCCCCTCCCGGGGTGTCACCTTGAGGCGGTCAAGGTTGTGGCCGTACTCGTCCAGGACGGTGGTGCCGTTGTGCATCACCCCGTTCCCCGTCATCATCCACGTCCCTGCGCACACGGGGACACGGGGACACGGGTGTCACCACAGGGACACCAGGGACAGCGGGGACACGGCTGTCACCACAGGGGTGGCACCACGGGGACACCAGGGACATGGGGTGTCACCATGGGGACACGGGGGACAGCGGGGACACGGCTGTCACCACAGGGACACCAGGGACAGCGGGGACATGGCTGTCACCACAGGGATGGCACCACGGGGACACGGGGGACAGCAGGGACATGGGTGTCACTATGGGGACAAGGGGGACAGCGGGGACACGGCTGTCACCACAGGGACACCAGGGACAGCGGGGACATGGCTGTCACCACAGGGATGGCACCACGGGGACACGGGGGGACAGCAGGGACACAGGGGACAGCGGGGACACGGCTGTCACCACAGGGATGGCACCACGGGGGACAGCGGGGACATGGGGTGTCACCATGGGGACACGGGGGACAGCGGGGACACGGCTGTCACCACAGGGATGGCACCATGGGGACACGGGGTGTCACCACAGGGACACGGCTGTCACCACAGGGATGGCACCACGGGGACACATGGGACAGCAGGGACACGGGTGTTACCATGGGGACACGGGGGACAGCGGGGACACGGGTGTCACCACAGGGATGGCACCACGGGGACACGGGGGACAGCGGGGACACGGCTGTCACCACAGGGATGGCACCACGGGGACACCAGGGACAGCAGGGACATGGGGTGTCACCATGGGGACACGGGGGACAGCGGGGACAGCAGGGACACGGCTGTCACCACAGGGATGGCACCACGGGGACACGGGGGACAGCAGGGACATGGGTGTCACTATGGGGACACCAGGGACATGGGGACACGGCTGTCACCACATGGGTGTCACCATGGGGACACGGGGGACAGCGGGGACACGGCTGTCACCACAGGGATGGCACCACGGGGACACGGGGGACAGCAGGGACATGGGTGTCACTATGGGGACACGGGGGACAGCGGGGACACGGCTGTCACCACAGGGACACCAGGGACAGCAGGGACACGGGTGTCACCACAGGGATGTCACCATGGGGACACGGGGGACAGCGGGGACATGGGTGTCACCACAGGGATGTCACCACGGGGACACAGGGGACAGCAGGGACACGGCTGTCACCACAGGGATGGCACCACGGGGACACCAGGGACAGCAGGGACATGGGAGGTCACCACGGGGACACAGGGGACAGCGGGGACAGCAGGGACACGGCTGTCACCACAGGGGTGGCACCACGGGGACACGGGGGACAGCGGGGACACGGCTGTCACCACAGGGATGGCACCACGGGGACACCAGGGACATGGGGTGTCACCATGGGGACACGGGGGACAGCGGGGACAGCAGGGACACAGGTGTCACCACGGGGACACAGGGGACACGGGGACATGGGGTGTCACCATGGGGACACAGGGGACAGCAGGGACACGGGTGTCACCACGGGGACACGGGGGACAGCGGGGACATGGGTGTCACCACGGGGACACAGGGGACAGCAGAGACAGCGGGGACACGGCTGTCACCACAGGGATGTCACCACAGGGACACAGGGGACAGCGGGGACACTGGGATGTCACCACGGGGACACGGGGGACAGCGGGGACACGGCTGTCACCACAGGGACATGGGGGACAGCGGGGACATGGGAGGTCACCACGGGGACACAGGGGACAGCGGGGACATGGGTGTCACCATGGGGTGTCACCAGTGGGACACAGGGGACAGTAGGGACACGGGGGACACCAGGGGACACAGGTGTCACCATGGGGACAGCAGGGACAGCAGGGACACAGCTGTCACCACAGGGACACAGGGATGGCACCACGGGGACACTGGGGACAGCGGGGACATGGGGTGTCACCACAGGGACACTGGGATGGCACCACAGGGACATGGGGGACAGCAGGGACAGCGGGGACATGGGATGTCACCATGTGGACATGGGGGACATGGTGACCCCATGGTGACCCCGTGGTGGCCCTGGTGGCCCTGGGCACTCACCTGAGCACAGGTTGGTCATGGTGGGGTGGGGATGGTGACCCCGTGGTGACATTGGTGACCCCATGGTGACCCCATGGTGACACTGGTGACCCCATGGTGACCCCGTGGTGGCCCTGGGTACTCACCTGAGCGCAGGTTGGTCATGGTGGAGGGCAGCTGCAGGGGGGTGGGATGGGATGGTGACCCCGTGGTGACACTGGTGACCCCATGGTGACATTGGTGGCCCCGGGCACTCACCTGAGCGCAGGTTGGTCATGGTGGGGTGGGATGGTGATCCCTTGGTGACCCCATGGTGACCCCGTGGTGACCCCATGGTGACCCCGTGGTGACACTGGTGGCCCCGGGCACTCACCTGAGCGCAGGTTGGTCATGGTGGAGGGCAGCTGCAGGGGGGTGGGGTGGGATGGTGACCCCGTGGTGACATTGGTGACCCCATGGTGACCCCATGGTGACATTGGTGACCCCGTGGTGACATTGGTGGCCCCGGGCACTCACCTGAGCGCAGGTTGGTCATGGTGGAGGGTAGCTGCAGGTAGGCCGGGTTGTGGGTGGTGACCCCGATCTCGATGGACCCCGCCCACTTGTCCACCATCTTGTCGATGCGAACCTGGAACAGCTCGTTGTCCCTGAGCGCCCGGGCACTGAGCACGACCCCGTGGTTGAAATCATCCGTGGCACTGGGGACACAGGGGACACCCTGTCACCCCCATGGGGACACCACAGGGACATGGGGACACCACGTTGTCCCTGAGCGCCCGGGCACTGAGCACGACCCCGTGGTTGAAGTCATCTGTGGCACTGGGGACACAGGGGACACCCTGTCATCCCCATGGGGACACCCCAGGGACACAGGGACACCCTGTCACCTCCATGGGGACACCACAGGGACACCACAGGGACAGGGACACCCTGTCATCCCCATGGGGACACCACAGGGACAGGGACACCACGTTGTCCCTGAGCGCCCGGGCACTGAGCACGACCCCGTGGTTGAAGTCGTCCGTGGCACTGGGGACATGGGGGACACCACAGGGACACCCTGACATCCCCATGGGGACACCACAGGGACACCACAGGGACACAGGGACACCCTGTCATCCCCATGGGGACACCACAGGGACACCACAGGGACACAGGGACACCCTGTCATCCCCATGGGGACACCACAGGGACACCACGTTGTCCCTG